AATTCATCCCTGAGTATAATAAATTTTATCATTTTCTTGTACGGAAAATTTTAAAATCCTAATTAAATAAATTGAGCTTAAATCACTATAAATTTGTCTTCCAAACTAGATTATTCTAGGTAAAGGCTTGCATTGGAACTCAATGGGCCTTAATCTTTTTATTAACAAGCATTGAAACTGCTGCAAGATATTTGTGTTTTAGAAACATTTTCATCGCGATGCGGATGACAGTAATTTAATATGTATCACACCTGAATATGACTAATTATGTTTTTAAGGAGGTCCTTTCGCCACACATCTCGCCTCAAATGTTAAAAAAAAGTTATTAGATTATGACTAAAATTAATTTTTTTCTAATAGTTGAAGTCCTTATTTATCTAATACTGAATTTTTAACTATACCTTACCTTGCAAATTTTTGAGAATTTTTTTTTAAATGTGATTATTTTACAGTGCCTCACGAGAAAGTAAGTCCTCAACAACAATTCTCGAATTATACTATTATTTATTGATTAGAAATTTTCAAATAACCTAGTTGAAAATTTTTTAATAATAATTTCCCAATAAATTCCACGGTAACCTATATATTTTATTGTAAAAAACAAAACCTAAATATTTCAAAAACCTTATTTTTAGTTTTTTTCTACTCCATCTAATCAATAAATAATAGTAAAATTAATTATAATTCGAAAATTGTTGTTGAAGTCTTACTTTCTCATAAGACACTGTACAAACACACAAATTTAAAAAAAAAAAATTCTCAAAAATTTGCAGGGTAAGGTATAGTTAAAAGTTCACTATTAGATAAATAAGGACATCTACTATTAGAAAAAAATTAATTTTAGTCATAATCTAATATTTTTTATTTAACATTGGTGGCGAAAGGACCTCCTTAGTAATTAAATTTTTCTCGAGAAGACTTTCAAACGACGATATTTTGTTTATTTAAATGACAAATCATTTTCATCCTCCAGTAATATTAAAACTGCAGTCAAAATATTTATCCTATAAAACCTTCAAAATTTTAATTAAATATACCGTAATACACCTATTCTCCCTATTAATTTAGTCGAATAGATATATGTTTCGAAATTATCAATTTCAAGTCAAATTAAATTATGATTAACACTATTTTGGTATTACTCTATTCTGATTAATCACCTTTTACATACTGTTTCTTTTGTGAATTTGAGTATCCGATTAAATAACACATTTTGGTATAATATGGATATAATTAATCATCGAGTCTAGTGCAATGTTATGGTTTTAGTTAAAATTAAAATATAATGAATAATAGCATTGCTACGATTGCAAAAACTTTTGTATAAAAATTAATCACCCTATATTTTTTGATAGAACTCTTTAAAAAATATGTAATATAGAATATTAAAAGGTGCAAGAACGAAAAAGTATTGGAAGAACTTGAGAAAATGGATAATCAATCAAAATGATTAATGAACGAAGTACGTGACTTGGTTTTATAATAATAATATTCAAATTTCTTTACATACCATTATAGATATATCATCAATTTGGAGTATTAAAAGTAACCAAATTCTATACAAGAACGATAAGCGATAAAAATGACCATTTGAAATAGTAATAAAACCATTCAACTGTGGGTTAATACTGATCCTAAAAGGATCTGCCTAAATCATGATAAAGGATTCTTTGAAAAGTAAAAGAATTTCGCATTCTCGCATTATATCTATATCTAAACAAATTTTTTATGTTATTGAATAAACTTTTCCAATTTTATTGCTAACGTATTAATATATTTATTTATAAAGGCTAAGGGTTCTGGAAATGCAATGCCATGTCAGACGAGACGAGCCATCTGTCATGCTATGAATCCCGGACTCGCGAATTATCATTGTCTATGAGCAAATGGAATCATAAATTTAAAATTGTTGCAAAAATTGACAAAATCATGTTGACTTAAAATGTTTGGGGTCATGAATGTCTTTTTAGTATTAAAAGTAAGCAATATAGAGACCAGAGATGAGATGCATGTGAAGGAATTGAGGCGTTGATATGAAAAACCATAAAATGAGTTATTTTCGTCAAGTAACTCTTTAAGGAGTAGTAAATCATACGCCGTTGTTAATTATAGTAAAAATGATATATTCACCGAAATATAGACTACCGAAAATACCACACAAGTCCAGCCGTTTCCGTTAAAAACAGTTTATGTCCTGGATATTAGTTGTTTTTCATGGAAATAGTTCTCTTCACCGAAAACAACAACTGTCATTTTATGTGTTAAACCTAACCTAAAATGGTTTATAGTGGTGTTTATATTTTGCGAGAGGTTTTAAAGAAAAATAAGCAACTTTAGTTATCTATAATGACGGTGACCATAATTTAAAAAAAAAATAAAGTACAATAAGATTGTTTTTGAACGCATTCGCCATTTTATAGAAATATAATGTCAACATTAAGTAAAACATCAAATATGTTAATTTAAAAATACAATTTTTATTAAGTAAGGCATAATAATGATATTAAACATCGAAAAATGTTAAAAGAAAGCAAATAACATAAAAAGTTGTTATACATTTTATTTTTTCCCAGTGTGTATCTGACGCATCACGTCAAAAAGGCGCGGCATAGTGTAATAACAATATGTCCCTGTCTTATGATTTTTTTTATACTACAAATAAATAAATACATATAGTGCGAGACACATTGAGAGTACAGTGTAAACTCTTAAAAAACACGCCGTTGCCAGTCGTCGCTATGCTGGAATTAGCAAAAAAAAAACATATCCGGTCTCAGGCAAGTTTCGACACAGGTTTAAATTTTATCTCAAAATTTGTATGTTCAATAATAAATAATAAAAAATTTCAAAATTACAAATTTGTAAGTGAACAAATACTAAACAAATTTTACGCAATAAACAGGTCATTGTCGAGGTCTAAAATCTCACTTTAAGAACTGTCGCCGAAACTCTTATCAACGTTTCTTTTTCCTTTTTTTTTCTAACATGATCAACGCAATTAAATAATTTTGTTTAGTGACATATTCAAATGCTTAATCTATCAATAAACGAACATCATGTGTCTTAAAATTAATGTTGTTCGGAGCAATATAGTGCTTTACCTGATTTTATACCATCTCGATCGGGTTTAGCTCGCAATGATACAAGAGTAAGTGTAAAACAGTTACCCTGTATTTTGCAACTATTTGTCGTATTACTCTCTGTATGCGTTGGCAACTTCAAGCAGCTCAGATTTTAAAAAGCCGAATTTTTTTTTTTTTCATCAACCAATTGTTTATTTCAGGTTTATTCCATTAGATAGCTGGAAAACTAAATTTACGTCAATGATACGAAGCGTTATCAATAACAACAACAACAACAATAAAAATATTTCGTCCATTTTTAGATAATTAAGAAATCAGAAACTACTCAAACCGCCATTGTTCAAAATAGTCGGCGTTCATTTCGTCATGATAATCGCCTTCGGTTTTCTTTGACTAGAAACACCTGCAAAATTAAGAAATAAAACTAAGAAAAAAAATTCGTACATGACAATTGTTTAAGGTATGTAACTGGTTTCTAAAATATATGTATAAGTTATTATATTACTACTAACAAAATATGAACATCGTTGTAATATATAGATAATGAGATTGTTCTGCACGTTTTGTTAGGAATATTAGAATCAGTCACACATATTGGGATAGAAAATAAGGACGAAATGCTATGACTATGTTACGTGCACATTTTACCTTAGTAATAATTTAGCATACAAAGATAAGGACATCTTGGTTATACGTATTTATTTATCGAGTACAATATATTACAACATTGTTTACAGTTTTCACAGGCGTAGCTAAAGCCTAAAAACTATAAACAATAATTATAATTCTATCAATTAGGAATATAAAACTTACAAATAGATTTGGTCACAAACTTTAATTCGTCCTCTTCGTCTCTAGGTAGTACTAAATAAGTTCAGTTGTAATCCTAAAACCAATACAAAATATAAATCGATTTAAAACACATTAAGATAAGTAAAATATTGTTCCAACAAAATATCATTAAAAAAATTAATTTTTACCCTATTTAAATATATCGTCTACGGTATATTTTCCTTAAAATCTTTTTTAGGACTCCCAATGATTTGTTTATCTTTCTTATGTCAGAGTCATTCTGTTGACAATTCTCTTTTTTTTTTCAAATACATTAAATTAAAATTTCATCAAAGTACAATAACCAGGATAATTTAAATACTTCTTATTTGGACATGGATTGACCACTGACCACTTTTTATCTTTGACTTGTTAATGAAAAAGGCTTCTTTCTGAACCACCTGGGTGTAAGTTTTCGAATTTACGGATTTAATTTAGCCATTAAGTAAACCATCATCTTAAAAGGAACGTTTCATTTAAGTGGAATCACATATTGTGGATTTTGTTCCTTGTAAAAGAAAGGCCATTAACATCTGTGGTATGTTCGACCTCTCCATGCTTTTCTAAAAATCACATACCAATATTGTTATTTTATTTTAGGCCTTTATTTATCATTTACTTTAAATATCTACTGAATAATTATTTATCTAATAACTTAGTGGGGCTTTTGTTGGACTGAAATATTACCTACAGCACATACGTTAGCGACACGCATTGGGATCTCGATTTATACCTATAGCTGCAATTCGTTGCAGCCCCTTGCTTACGCTTTAACGCCTCCAGGAGCCATCATCAGTTATTACCGCATCCTGAACGATCACCAGGTCGATTGCAGTAAGATTTATAACTTTTCAGCCACAAGTAAGGACTACATTTTTCTATTTCTCCAGATTTAGAAGTAGTGGCTCGTTTCAACTAATTCCTAAAATAAATATAAACTATAGCGGATAAACTTAAAAAATTAATTATGTAAACTCACCTGTGCACCTTCTAGTACTAAAAGGAAGACCATAAGATAAATTGTATCGTATTAATACTATCAACACATTAACAGCTTTAATAACCATTTGTATGGGATTATAAACCCCAGGGTAAATTGGCATCGCTGATAATATTCGTTTCCTACTGGCTTTAGTTTCTACAGATTTGTATTTTTCACAAACACTTGTGCAAATGCGTAATGAAATGAGTTTTATAGCTGATACTATATACGTGTATATAATATTTTGTTATATAATTAAAATAATTAAAAACATATATGAAATTTCTGTTTTTAAAGAATAATTTATTAATTCAAATAATCTTTGTTACAGATTAAGCTGAACTACTTCTAAGAATACCGACATGTGGATCTGCATTTATATTATTCTTCTATGCCTTTCTGTTCAGTTCATCGACGGAAGTAAAAAAGGATGTGGAGGAACTTTAACTGCCGCTAGAGGAATTATAAGTACACCAAATTTTCCAGGTAAGTTCTTAGAAATGAAATCCAATTACATTAGGCAGAACATCTCTACGTCATAATCATTTTTTAAAACTTAAAAGGTATGTTATAAAATAAACGTTATAAAATAATCGTTATAAAATTACCTGTTACAAAATAACAAGATACAACACTATAGACCAGTGGTCGCCAACTTCTCAATGTGTTGAGCTACTTTGTTAATTTTGGAATAAACAGCGAGCTACCCACAAGGAAGCCACGTAACGCAACGTAAATGAAATAATCCACAGTTAATTTATCATTATATGTATTTATTTTACTATTTAACTGGTAATACATAATACATAGGTACTAATAATAAACTAATAACACAATAACTAATATTACTAGTACGTACTTGTTCATAGCTACATTCCTACCTACCAAACGAAGGTGTTTGAAAAATAAACACAAACTTTTATCCAGCCACAACGGCATGTCACGTAAGATTTTAAAATAGTTATTAATAACAACAACAAAAAAGTAACGCACTATCTTAAACATAAACATTGAAAAATAAAAAAGCACGTTCAATGAGAAGGCTGACACTCAGACTCATCGATAATTTTTTTAATGTTTGCAGTAATAATTTGATACAGCCATTCGAATACAATTATCCAAATATTCATCTGTAAGTCGATTGCGATATTTGTTCTTAATAAACTTCATATTGGAAAAAGAAGATTCACACAAATAGGTTGAACTGAATAATGCTTTCACTTTCAAGGCAACACGGCATAGAACTGAATATTTGTCTTTACTTACAATAGGCCAGATACATTTGGTACTTGAGACTAACGATTTTAAGGCTAAATCATTTTGAAACTCAATAACTTCCATTTCTGTTGCAGCGATGTCTTCGCCAAAGTTCTGCATAACACAAGTTGCAAACTGTTGAATATCAATTTCCATAAAGGGTGAAACAACAAACTGCGCTACTAAAGCCATTTCGTTGAAATCCTTAAAACGATTTTTGAAGTTATTCTTCAGGGTAGAAACTATATCTACATGATATTTGCTGTCATAGGGTTCTAATGGATTTTGAGATATTTTTTCTGAAAGAATAGGAAAATGCTTGGCATTGCTGTTAATTAGGTTTTGTTCCCAAAACTCCAGCTTTCTGATAAATGCTTCTATATCAGAAATCATTTCCGCTAGTTCTTTGTCTCTCCCCTGAAGCTGCAAATTAAGTTCGTTTAATTTCTCTGTAATGTCCACGAGAAAACCAAAATCTCTAAGCCAGATTGAATTTTCTAGTTCCGGAGTCGGTTCATCGCATTGTTTGAAAAATTGAACTATGCCAGATAGGACATTATTAAAACGTTTCAGCACCCGTTCTCTACTTAACCATCGGACTTCAGAGTGAAGGAGTAGGTCCCCGTATTGACAGTCAACTTCATCGGCCAAGGTTTTGAATAATCGTCTTTGTAACGCTTGAGCTCTAATAATAATAGTTTCAGGAAATTTTCACAAAATGCTTGCTGATGGATAATGCAGTGGTAACAGAGAAATTGCGGAAAAGTTTCATCTTTACGACATAACGCCACCAGACCCTTATCACAACCCACCATAGCTGGAGCGCCATCGGTTGTCAAGCCTACCATTTTCGATATTGGAATTTTCTCGGAAGAAATAATATTTTTTAAATGAGAAAACAACTCCTGTCCAGTAGTGTATCCTTTCAGTGGAATAAACTTTAAAAAATCTTATTTAATCATAAAATAACTAAAAACCATCCTGACGAACACGGCTATCTGGGCAGTGTCAACGACATCTGTTGATTCATCCAGTTGAAGTGAAAAATAAACACAGTTATCTATGTCAGTTTTTAACTGTAAAAAAATATAATTGCTCATTACTTCTACACGTCTCATCACTGTATTAGCAGAAAGTTGCATAAATTTTATAGCTGAAACTATCTCGTCTTTATTTCTAAAGTTGGCAAATAACGGATCAGCAGCTTCTAAAAACGCCTGTTTTATCATTTCCCCGTCTTCATAAGGTTTCTTTTTTGTGCAATTATCTGGGACACACGGTACGATGCTTCAGTTGCAGCCTTATTTTTGTCGACTGTCCTTAAAAATATTGATTGTTGTTCAATTAACTGCTTTTTAACAGTTTCTCCTTTCTGGCGGTAGAATGTAGTGGGAATGATTTTTAAAAATTAGAATGTACAGTTTTATGATGTCTCTCAATATTTCCTTTTTTAGCAACGGAGACCGAAGTATTATTACATAACAAACACACATTTTTATCTTTAACTTCTGTAAAAAGGTATTGTTCTTCCCATTCCGAATGAAAGTGGTATGTCTTTACCTTCTTACAACTACTTGCAATAATATTATTTTTTGTTGTTCTCTACTAAACCGACCGCTGGACGTTGGTTACGCATTCAGTTTTAAAATAAGCGCAATGTCGCCGCGCCGTGCGTATTTATTCTGTTCAAAGCCAAATCTTAATCGTTCTCGAACACTAACCCGCTGGTCCGGCTGGTCGGTTCTAGCCGATTCTAGCTTGATGGCGTCAGCGGCAGATCGCTCACCGCAACTTTGTCGCTGTTTATCTTTAATATTATGACAATTAGATTTATTTGTGGAATTTTCGGAAGCTTCTCTGATTTTTGCAGTTTGTATTTTTAAACTAAAATCGTTGTGAGAGCTACCAGAATTGCCTCCGCGAGCTACCGGTAGCTCGCGATCGACAGGTTGGCGACCACTGCTATAGACAAAAGAAACGCGCAATTAATTTGTCACGTACTTATTTATTTCGAACTAGTTTATACAAAAAGCAACAGGATGAGGATAATTAATTACCCAGGCTAAAAAGTTACATCATATAACATAATAATTGGTCTCACTCCGAAAAGGGTGTGACTTGACAAATAACGTCACAGTTTTCACACAAAGAAGCTTTGAAATTTAGATTCATTTTTAACCACACTCACAGCAGACTTCGGCATAAGTGTAGATAATTCTTTATTGTGCTTTTCTGAGATAAATGTATGTCAAGTACAATATTTTATATAAATAAAAAGTTCAATGGTTTATTCCAGTGATTCTCAACCAAATTTTAGATATATATTAATGTTTATTCAGAATACACCTTCTTATTTGTTATTTTAAAATGTTTGTAATCGTCCCCATATTTTATTAAATATTGACTGGTATCAGAAGATGGAACTGTGTTTCTGAAACATATGTAGTGCCTGTACTTAAATTTTATAAAAACAAAAAAATGACCGAATAAATCGTTAAACTTTTTATTTATATAAAATTCTACTACGGTCAGGAAATTATCCTTTTTCATACTATATTTTAAACTTTCTAAATGCAAATATAATAAGGATATAAAAACAAACGGACTAAAAACAATCCATTCATTTAAACATATAATAAATTTTAAAAATGTTGATTAAATTAACCTTTGTCTTATTCCAGAACCATTCAAAGTACCTATAAACTGCCAATGGGTGATCGACGCTCAGTTCAGCTCATCCCACAACACTTCCATCGTGGTCTACTTGACCCAACTCTTCGTCTACGAGGGCTTAACTTTCACGGAATACCAAATTTACGGAGATGACTACAAAATTAACCCGAAAGTAATTCACAAAGTCAACGAGACGAATATTAGCAGAACCAGATGGGTGAAAACTTTTCAAAGCTTTTTAGTCATAGATCTGAAACTCAATACTGCGGATAGTGTGCATCTTAGAGTTTTGGATAAATTTTTGGACGTACACGGGTTTAATATAACTTATGAAATTACTACGAGTAGTGTTAGAAGCCATTCTTGTACCATGATGGACTGTGGGTTTACCGGAAATTGCTATGATTATTATACGTAAGTAGAACATTCAGTTAAATTGGAACCCTGTCCCCTTACAATTGGCACACTTATTAAAATCATTTATTTAATTTTTTAAAATGTTTGAACAGCACAATGGCATGTTATACACGGGAAATGTAATAAAATTGATAAATAATAGTAATATTTCACTGTTTGAATAGCCCATAGAGACATTATGGCATAAAATGAAAAAGCAGTTGCGTGCAGCACCCGCAAATTCAGTGCTTTAATAAAAAGCAAATATTCGAGATATATGGAGTGAGTTCACTAAACCAAATTTTCAATAACTTGTAAATACAACGTCATAAAGAATTGTTTATGTTATTAAAGCAAAAGAAGATGTAACACAGTGGTGAAATTTTTGTAAATATTTAGCAAAAATCCACGAAATTACGTCTTAAATATTTCTGATATATAATTTATTACACAAGTTGTAGTATCCCTTGTTATTGTTAAGTGTTGCACGGCAATGTGCAAATATAGTTATAAAATATTAGTAGTCGAATGTCAATGTTAAAATAGCTATCAAATATATTGTTAATTTCTAATGATCTCTTAATCTCCTTTACAATTAATCTTAAGGAGTTACAACAGAGTGGCGACGTAGGTAAATCACTGCTCAAATAAAATCAACCTTCCATCAAAGAAAAAAAAGATAGCAAATTAAAGTAACTCACCAGACTCCTGAAACATATTCAAACCATGAATTCAGAGCAGTTTAAACAATTTTTGGCAGCAATGCAGGCAAATCAAGAGGCTCTTATCGAACAGCTTCAACAACCTTCAACAGAAAGTCCAGTATCTACTGCATTTATATGTCCGTTTGAAAATGTTAATCCTTAAAAAGAGGACTTTCGTATATACAGAGAACGTTTTGAAAACTATTTAATAATGAAAAATGTATTCAATAACAAAAAGTTTGCAGCCAAATTACTATTAAATTCTATTGGGTCACTCACATTTTCCACATTCTCGGCACTGGTAAGCCCTCAAAAGCCAAGTGAATTTAATTACGAAACACTTATTATGAAGCTTGAAACCCATTTATGTCCAAAAAGAAATGTTCTGGCGTCTCAGCATACATTTTTATCCACCTTTCAACAAGAAAACCAATCAATTGCAGACTACAATTCTATACTAAAACGTATAACCCTCGATTGCGAATTTATTTCATTATGCGAGTATAAATCAAATATCGCAGACATTTTTCTACGAGCTTAATTTATTAGAAGCATTAATGAAACATAAATGCGTGAACAACTACTTCAATCGGCCAAAAAATCTTTCGATAAATTAGTAGAAAAAGCTTTAGTTCTAGAATCTTCTAGGTTAGACAGCAAAGAAATTTCGTCCAGCTGTACCTCATCAAACATCAACAAAATCAACCATTTATCAACAAACAGATCAATACCGAGGTCAAACGTTCCAAATCAAGATCAAAAATCAACTATCAAGAATTAGGTATCGATAAGCATTGTATACGCTGTGGCAAGGACAATCACCTTGCTTAAAATTGTAGAACTGACCCTATAAAAATTTTACTGTCTTGCTTGTGGGAAAACAGGACACGTTAAAACGGTTTGCATTTCAACTTTGTTATCCAACAAAAACAGACCAGGTACTTCCACCAATCATATCGATCAAGAAACTGAGTCAGAACAAGAAGATGTTTTTGGAATCAACAAAATTGTTATTGACATTTTTGAAAACGAATACATTGATGCTCAAAAGTTTTACGCAACCGTATTCATAGGAAACAAACCTATACAATTTAAAGTAGACTCGGGAGTAGGTTTCACCTTGATACCAGAGTCCGTATCTAAACTATTAGACTTAAAAATTCCACTTCAAAAATCAAATATTGTATTTAGATCTTACACCAAAAATATTTTTTATCCAATTGGAAAAGCAAAAGTATCTGTACGCTACCATGATAAGATTTCCAGAGAAGAATTTTATGTCGTCCAATACAGTTTTAAACCACTATTAGGTCGTGAGTGGATTAGACATCTCGACATCAATCTTCAAGATATCGATAGCAACCTTCCTTCCAATACCAACGAACTTGATACACGAAGTACTGAACTTTATACACCAGAAGAGTTGATCAATAAATTTCCAGAAATCTTTGAAGAAATAATTAACTTGGTATCCAAGTTTAAAGTATACTTACATCTACGTGAAAACGCCAAACCAGTATTTTTTAAAGAAAGAAGTGTACCCTATGCTCTTAGAGAAAAGGTTGAAAAATAATTAGATAGTCTCGAAGCCGCCGAAATTATTTTGAAAGTAGATCATAGCGACTGGGGATCACCTCTTGTTGTCATTCCAAAGGCTGACGGCGAAGTTAGACTTCGCGTAGATTACAAAGTTGGCGTCAAAGGCAGGCTAGTAGGAGCAAATTATCCAATTCGGAAGATCGAAGACATTCTCAACACCTTAAAGGGTTCCAAATATTATTGTCGACTTGATTTGTATAAAGCCTACCTGCACTTACTGGTAGACGAGAAAACCACTGACATTCAAACAATTTTAACACATCGTGGTACTTACCGAATGCATCGACTTTCATTTGGAATCAAAACCGTTCCTTCCGAATTTAATCGTATTATTGATCAAATTATTTCCGGATTATCAAAAACCCACTCGTCCTTTGATGACATCATATTCCATGGATCAACAAAAGAAGAGTGTCAGAGAAACCTTTACGCGATTAAAACATTTTGACCTTCATCTAAACCGGAAGAAATGTGCATTTTTTTAAACCAGCATCGACTACCTAGGATATGTTATCAAACGCAATCTAAATTTTAAAATCTCCAAAGAAGATACAGGCCATTTTGGATATATAAAAATTAAAAAAAAAAAAAAAAAAAAAAAAAACACTAACATGACATATGTTTCGAAGTACAACTTCTTTTTCAAATTTGAAAAAGAAGTTGTACTTCGAAACATATGTCATGTTAGTGTTTTTTTTTTAATTTTTATATTTTTAAAATAAAAGTGTGAAAACCAAATTTGGTTTTACTCTTTCAAGACATTTTGGATATGCCAAGACCAACTGATGTAGATGGGGTTCGAAGATTTCTTGGGTTGATAGCGTACTACAATCATTTTAGTCCCAATGCTTCAAGTAAAACTTATCTACTACGTAAACTCTTACAAAAAAATAGAAAATTAATCTGGTCTGCTTCTTGTGAATCAGCTTTCATCAAATTAAAAGAAAAGATTGCTAGTGATCGAGTTTTGACTCCTTATGATCCAAATCTACCCTTGATTCTGGCATGTGACGCTAGTTCGATAGGAGTTGGCGGAATTCTTTCTCATATTCTTAATGGGTTAGAAAAACCAATTGCATGTGCCTCAAGATCTTTAACTTCAAGCGAAATGAACTGTAATCAGTTAGATCGAGAAGCACACGCCATTGAATTTTCAGTAAATCACTTTTTTATGTACTTATTTGGCCAAAAATTCAAACTTATTACTGATAGTCCCCTTACCAGAATTTTTCATCAACATTCAAAATTACCTGCAATGACTTCAGCTAGACTTCTTAGATACGCTTCGTTTCTATCTGGTTTCGATTACGAAGTTGAATACAGAAAAGCTTCTAATCACATAAATGTTGATTGTCTTTCCAGAGCTGCTATTGCTCAGCAAGCATATTCTACCGATCAGTTTTTAAATGAAGAAGTCCATCAACATTGTAATATATCAATCAAAGAAATCTCCAGCTATGACTTAACGTATGATAACCTTAGAATAGCTACTAATAAAGATTTAGTCTTATCAAAAATCAAATCTGATTTGAAATCACAAAATCAAGTGGATAACAACTTTACCTTGGATAACGACATACTGTTTAAAGGTCAAAGAGTTGCAATTCCAACATCACTCCAACCAAGTTCTTACAGAACTTCACAGTACTCACATAGGCATTACAAAAATAAAACAGCTTGCAAGAAGATATTGTTACTGGAAAAACATCGATAGGGACATTGAAAATATGGTTAAGTCCTGTCAAGCATGTGCGGAAGTTCAAAAATCTCCTTCAAAAGCTACTATTCATCATTGGGATCTTCCAGAAAAAAATTGGGATCGAATTCATATCGATTACGCAGGGCCATTTCAAGGTTTCCATTTTCTAATTGTTCTCGATGCCAAATCTCGATGGGCCGAAATTAAAATCCTTCGTTATGCTCCAACAACAGGAAAAACTATCGATCTACTCAAAGACATCTTCACATTCCACGGATATCCTAGAGTTATGGTTTCGGACAACACTAAAATTTTTGTAAATGAGCAGATCAAGACATTTTCCAAAATGCATGGCATTTTTTAAAAATTCATTGCACTAGGCCATCCTGCAACCAATGGCTTAGCCGAGCGTAATGTCCAGACTCTTAAAGGTAAATTAGAAGCTATGGCCCAGGATAACATGCCCATGAATAGGAAAATTCAAGAAATTCTTCTTAAATATCGCACCACTCCTTTAGCTTGTGGGAAGTCACCAGCAGAAATGAATTTAAGAAGACCTATAATCAAACTTGACGCCTTGCGGCCAACTCAACACAAGATCTCAGAAAACCAGTTACCTGGAGTACCTAATTTAACTGTGGGAGAAAGAGTTCGTCAGATTTTATAGTGGGAACAAAATTCTGTGGAAATTTGAAACTATAACAAAAAAGTTTGGAATGCTATACTACCAGGTAGAGCTAGATGATGGATATTTATTTAAAAGGCATATAGACCAAATTCGAACTACGATGGTGTAGCGACATACTTGCATATTTGTACGTCATGATTAACATTACTTTTTATTAGATCGTAGAATTTTTTAACTGTTAATGCCTTCTTATCGTTGGTGTTTTTCTATTTAGGACACTAACTGTCCTAATAGTATGGTAATTCTTAATTGTATCAATGGCAGTATTCTTTATATGATAGAAAGAACCTGCTAGATAACATAGAATTACTAAACACTTAACAACGGGGCAATTTCGATAATCAAAGAATGGATAA